ATCATAATAAAGTGGTCGGTTCATCTACTATATCATTCTATTCACAAAATGTTGTCTCAAAAAAAGTTATAAAATAATCACAAAATCTCTGAGCAGAGAAGATTAAAAGGTTTACATTTAATATATTTCAATTTTGGTATCAGGGTGTGAAAGACTAGTCATTCGGTTCTTAAATACTAAAGGCATCTTAACACCGTTAAAAACAAACAATTAACTATATTTCCATGATAAAGCAAAATGCTGAGTGATTCTAATGAAAAGTATAGAACTAGCACAATTTTAAATGACCCCCAAATAAGCATACATTTCATGAATAAATAATCCAGGTGTTACAAATGTAGATTATTTCATTGGTTTGTCATAAAATACAAGATAATTCAACTTAGTCTCACTGTAAGTGAATGTTTTGTTGACATGCAACCTAGATGTAAAACATGATCTTCCATAATTTATATAAATAATTTGAGTTTAATACAAGAATATCATGTATGCACGAAGACAGTACAGTCGGGAGTATTGACTGACACGCAGCGGTGTACTGACTGAGTGCATACTTAGAGGTATCCTCGTAATAACCATATTATTATACATCTTTTTCTTCCAAGGATACATCATAGGAATGCTGAAATCCGAAAATGTTAGAACAGAATCAGCGAATTTCTTTGTGTGGAGTCTAGTCAAACCCTAGTCATAATCAAGTTTGTTTTTAATATTAGGGGACGCTTACGCACGTAATCATTCCATATTTGGAATTTGTAGTTCCTTATATGGTAGGATGAAAATACCCAGTAAAAAAACCACAAAATTATGGCACGCTGTAACTTATGGCGTTTCGGTGACAGATGTATAATAATAATATTTATGCAAATGATTGATCAATATGCAAATTAGCCTAAATAAAATTTCAGTTATTACACTTGGTTCATTATAAAAGAAGTTCAAAAACAGACTTTAATAATACCTGATGCCGATAGCTTTGTTTGTTTTCTTCACTGAAATGACTTCATGTCTGTACTGCAGCTGTGGATAGATGACCTTACTGCCATCGGGGTTGATGACCTCAACAGATTCAACTCTGAAGCATAGAACATAACAAACAAAGTGGTTAATGAAACGTGAAATATTTTATAAATAAATGAATGAATGAATGAATGAACGAATGAATGAATGAATGAATGAATGAATGAATGAATGAACGAACGAACGAACGAACGAATGAATGAATGAATGAATGAATGAATGAATGAAAACACTGTTTGAGGCTGTTATACCATTTATTAACTTTTTTCCCCACTGGACTTTCTCACCCAAATTTGTCAGCTTTTTTTTGTATTCTTCAATAGTATATTTTAGTAAATTTTCAGTTTTTACTCAAAATTTTCGTTTTAATCTTCTGACAAAAAGTGCAGAATATAAACAGGTCTATTTTGTGAATTTGTGATGAAAAAATGGAACTGGTGGTGAAAAGGTTAATGTTAAAAGAGGTTGTTTTAATGGTGTGTAGGACGTGATCGCTTCATCATTCATTCAACTACAGTATTATTATAATCAGTAACATTGAATGTTGCAAGCCCTGGAACATCTATAACTAATGGATTAATTAGCCCTGGAACATGTACTTCATCTAGAATGACTAATGGATTAATTATCCCTGGAACATGCATTTCATCTCGAATAACTAATGGGTTAATTAGCCCTGGAACATGCATTTCATCTCGAATAACTAATGGATTAATTAGCCCTGGAACATGTATTTCATCTAGAATGACTAATGGATTAATTATCCCTGGAACATGCATTTCATCTCGAATAACTAATGCATTAATTAGGCCTGGAACATGTATTTCATCTTGAATAACTAATGCATTAATTAGGCCTGGAACATGCATTTCGTCTTGAATAACTAATGCATTAATTAGGCCTGGAACATGCATTTCGTCTTGAATAACTAATGCATTAATTAGGCCTGGAACATGTATTTCATTAGCCCAGGTACATGTATTTCATCAAGAATAAATAATAGATTGATTAATATTAATATTCTTACATAAAGGGTTGAGTGCAGTATCCACAGAACATAGTAACCAATGTATCCAAGACGACCTTGGCCTTGGTTAGGTCAGTAGCAGTACTTTCTATGAAGATATTTTTGGTTTTCAAAGAAATCTTCGAATGATCACCTGAAATGGTACAATATTTGTTATGCACATTTTAAAGTTGGACCATCATTGTAACTGAGTATGTGTTTACATAACAATGAATGTTTAAACTAGCAACTAGTCTTTTAGTAGCATTAACAGGAATGTTACTAAACACAACCAAATTATGTGTTGGGACTGTTAATAGTTTGAGACTTTCGTGGTGACGATCACTCACTTATTACGAACTGAACAAAAAAACAGAAGAAATCAAAAAATAGAGAGAAATAATAATTTAATAGTATTCAAATGATGTTATTAAGGAGAGAGTAGGAAATCAAAC